AATTCATTAAGTGTCTGTAATTCACATAGCATGCTTAAAAATGAGAACAATTTGACTAATTTGAACACAGAGGTATACAACACAAGCAAAATATTAATCAGATTAGATTTACTTATCTAAAAATACTCCTTAAAACGTCAAAAATAATACTAGATTCCTTACTAAAATCTTGATGTTTTCTTCTTCATTGTTTTTCTTATCTTTCTCTTCTTTTCTCACTAAGTTACTATATCTCTCTCTTTCTAAACCTTTGAAAAATGAAAAAAATAGAAGTGTGGAGAGGAAGGAACCAATTATATGCTAAATTTAGCAAGTGATCTTTTTGGTTGGATTTAGTCTACTTCCTTGACCATGTAATTTTAGACGAAAGAGTTTTTGTGGATTCATCCAAAGTTGAATCAGTGATTAACTAGAACTGACAAACTAATGTAGCTGAGGTATGTAGTTTCTTTGGTTTAGCAAGTTATTACCGGCAATTCATCGATGGATTCTCCAAGATTATTGCTCTATTGACCCGTTTCACTAGGAAATGTGTCCCTTTTATTTGGGACTATGAATGGAGTGAAAATTTTGTTGAATTGAAGTATCGTCTCACTTCTGCTTTGGTGTTGATCTTCCTTGACAATACTGGAAGACTATTTATTTAGGCCCTAAAGACGTTTAAAATTCCTTAATATTTCGTAATTTTAATTTTTTCAGATCAATATTATATTTCATATTTTAATTTCGTATTTTATTCGATTAAATAATTTTTAAAATTAATTATTTTATTTTATCATAGAAAAATTTTATTTTATTTATTATTTAAAAAGATTTCAGGAAAAAAACGGAGAAAAAAGCAAAAAATCTTATGGGAACGAACACGGGAAGGATCCCACCCGTGCATGTCTCATCCACACAGGGTGCAAGGCACGGTCTACGCAGATGTCCCATCGCGCGTAGACTGGCGCGACTTTGTGCGCGCGTTGTCCACGTAGTAGGCCTACGCACAGTGCCCTACATGCTTTTGGCCTACACACAGTAGGCTAGGCCTGCGTGCAACAGGCTAGGCCTACGACGCATTGCTGGCGCCTTGGGTAGTGCGCGCTGCCCCCTTGGGCGTCGTGCACTGCCGGTTGGGTGACGTGCTATCGCTGGCTTGGGCGATGTGCCACCATTGCTTCGGCAACATGCTGTTGTCATTTGGGTGGCGTGCCTTCAGTTTTTGCGCCGCCATCATGTCGCATCGCCCATCTGTCAATCGTCACATCACACTTTTTCCACTGACTTTCTCTCTCCTCACTAGATTTTTCTACTTGGCATAAATCCAACGGTCTGCATTTTCTATAAATAGGAACCTTCCTTTCACCATTTCTTCATCACTTCCATTTCCATTCTTTCATCCTCCAAGAGCTTTAGAGAGAGAGGAGGAGGAGGAAAAGAAAAAAAGGCATAGGGAAAATATCAAGGTTTTGATAAGAAATTTAATATTTACTTTTAAATATCCTAGAGAGCATTTTTAGAATAAAATTAATAAAGTTTAAATTAATGATTGCATAGTTAAATCTTATGCCTAAACGAAATAATTTTGTGTTAATGCATGTTTTATGATCAAATATGAACTTAATAATTTGTATGTGTAATTTAAATGATTTAATGTTTGAAATAAATATTCATATGTGATGCAATTAATCGTAGAAAAATGCTTAATCATGAAATAATGTATAGACATGAGAAGTATGTATTGGTATTAGCATTCCAAGTTCATAAAGTGTTTCGTTAGATTCTTTATCTCTGAAAGATTTTTGTTCTTCCCTCATCTGGTCTGAAAAGACGTGAGAAAATCACTCCTTGTGGATGACGACGTACCCTCTAACGAGATTGGTGACACGATATAATTGTAGGGGTCACATTTGGCAAAGTACAGTTGTGTCCAAAGTTAACATGTAAGACTACTGTGGTTAGCACGACCATGGTCATAGATCGTATTATAGTTTGGCAAGTCGTAAATATGTTGTTGCTTTGGCAAGCCGTAAATGTGATGTTAGTTTGACAAGTTGCAAATTACTATTTTAAATTAGATGAATTGGTCATTCCATATGGGTAGTCGAAAATTCGTATTGCCCTCAGTAGATGGAAGTCAGAACGACTTCGCACGAAAAATAAAATAAAAAATAGTGCATATCATGATTTGTTTGATTTTCTTTATTTTCAGCATAATCGATTTAAATGACATGATATAGTTATGATCTGATAGATTTGAATGTTTTTCTTTGACAAATAAATTATTTTCATAATTAATAAAGAACTCTAACTTAACTCTTGATAGTAAGTAATGATGGTACTTTTTATTAATCTTAAAATATTATGATGTTGTTTAAATATTGTTTTTCTTACTGAATATATGAAACTCACCCCTTTCCATGCCTCCCTCAAGTTCAGGAAGATAGTGAGGAACCGATTGCTGACTTACTCATTGAAATCTTTGAGGATCCCGTGGATCCATAAACTTTTATAAATGTCTGACTTATCTTGCACTCTGATGAGTCCATTTATATAGAAGTGGTCCTCTTTGTATTTTATTATTTTGTTTTTTATCACTACTTCTAGCCTCATATATATATATATAATTAGGAACTCATATATTTTGTACGGAATTTGTGATTATTTGTTTCACTGTATACATTTATCTATTATACATTCATAATCTATTTATGTGTCTGACACCTTCATACCTTAATTAGTATTTGAGATGTCACAATTTTAATATAGAATATAAACACACTTACTCCTACGCTTGTGATATATAATTCACTATGATAAATAATTCACCATAGGAATCATTATAGTTCATTCCATACTCATGTTCAATCAATTCTAGTTAATAAAAGAATAGTCAAGGATCAATTTTGATATGAGAATATTTTTATAATCGCTTTTTTTTTTTTTTTTTTACTTTTATGAGCATAATGGAGGTTAGGACTATTTATGGTATATTCAGTATTATCATCATAATCACTTAAATAATCTTCTGCGTGAATTATTTTGAAATTAGTATATTTTTGTTTTTTCTATTTAGCTATAAAATAAATATTTAAATTAATCTGAAATTATAAAAAAAAATCTTGATATTATACTAAAATCCTTTAGTTCTTTGACTTTCATATTCTTTTCTCACAAAAAGTGCCATTTCTTGCCCCCAAACTTTTTCATAATCTAGTTAGAACTTCTCTTACTACTTAGTGACATCTCTTGCCCCAAATATATTCTAAGCTAAAGGTTGAACTTTTTAAGCTCTTCATAACGTGTATAACTTAATCATATATCCTACCATTATCAATCATATAAGATACTCTAAGTGAGAAATATAGTATGCTTAGCTGTGAGAAATATAATATGCTTAGCTGTTTCAATATATATATATATATTTAAAAAATTAGACAAAAGAAAAAGAAAGTATAGCTGTACTTGTTTGGAGGAGAAGTGGATATATAAGCAGGAGTAGACATCCTAATTCCTAATATGGCACTCCTTGGCCCTCTAAAAGAAAGGGTAGTCCAAAAATATACACCTACACCTTTACGCGCAACTCATGCATATATATATATATATATATATATATATGTCATT